ATGTATACAAATAGGCAACCAAATATTTATTTATTATGATTGCACATGTTTAGTATTTACTATAATAAACTCCAATCATAAAAGCTGAAATAATCATAGCCTTTCTCTTTTAAGAAACAAAAGATCATGCATTTACCCACATATACTTTTATCTTAACAATATATATGATTTTAGCTTCACATGCATTTGATATGACAAATGAGACCAAAATCAAGAAAAGGTATGGACTCTTATCACAAACATGAGCTTAACTCCACCACATGCGGCGGCAACCACCGTCACCACCGCCGCTATTTCTTCCGAGTTGTCGTTAAGATGACATCATTTGTTATTTTTGCCGGACTCATATACTTCATCTTCAACGAGTCCAACTATCGTGTTCGGCTCGTGGCTAAACCTTATTCGAATTCTTCGTTTTCATCTCATGTAAGTAAAATCCCCATCCCTCTTCATATTTATAAATGAATCGAACACGACGTGCAAAAATAAATAAATAAATAAAAATTAAAAATAAAAATATCAAATGTCATAATTTTGTTTATGCCTATACGTATAGTACCGACATTTTTTAGTGAAAAATGTACATGTTAAAATTTTTATTTTTTATTTTTATATTTTATCAGGTTAATGATAATGAGAATAGTCTTGAGAGCATATTGAGAAGAGCATCCATGGAGGACAATAAGACAGTGATAATAACAACCCTAAATGCAGCTTGGATCGAGCCGAATTTCATATTCGATTTGTTCTTGGAGAGCTTTAAAATCGGGAACCGAACACAAAATCTTTTGAAACACTTGGTGGTTGTAGCTTTGGACCAAAAGGCCTACTCGCGCTGCGTATATCTCCATCCTCACTGTTTTGCCCTAAAAACCAACGACGATGTGGACTTCTCGGGCACGGCCCATTACATGAGCGACGACTATTTGAAGATGATGTGGATTAGAATCGATTTTCTACGTTCGGTTCTTGAGATGGGATATGACTTCGTATTTTCGGTACATTTCATCATACTTATATATGCAATTGCATTCATTCTCATTTTGGAATTTAAGCATCTTGAGTTTCATTTAGTTTTACACCCGTAAAACTGCTATTAGACTGCCAAACAGTATTTTCGGTACATTTCATCATATATATACAATTGCATTCACCTCATGTTGGAATTTAAGCATCGAATTTCTGATAGGATCTTTCTACTTGTTTGGACAGTATTAGACATAGTGGTAACAACGATAGTGTGTACAATGTTGGAGATGGATTTATATTTTTCTTATTTTTCTGGGTTGACGGGGAGTCTCATTTATTTTTTCACCAGTAAAACTGTTGTTAGACTGTCTAACGGTTAGATGGCCTATGCAGGATGCTGATATTATGTGGTTAAGGAATCCATTTCCAAGATTCGACCCAAATGGTGACTTCCAAATAGCATGTGATTTCTACCGGGACAACTCGACCAACATGCACAACTTCCCGAACGGAGGTTTCACGTACGTGAAGTCGAACGAGCGCACGATCGAATTTTACAAATTTTGGCACACGGCAAAGGACTATTTCCCGGGAAAGCACGACCAAGACGTGTTCAACGAGATCAAGTTCAGCCCGTTTTTGACACGGGTCGGGCTGCGAGTCCGGTTCTTGGACACGGCGTATTTCGGGGGGCTTTGTGAGCCGAGTAAGGATCTCGACTTGGTGGTCACGATGCATGCGAATTGTTGTATCGGGATTTATAATAAGATGCACGACATTAGGATGGTGCTCGACGACTGGAGGAAGTACACGGCTTTGTCTGCCGGAAAAGGAACGAATCCGAGCCGGAAAATGACGTGGACCGAGCCGAGGAGGTGTGGTTTGGGCAAACCGATTAAGCACAAGAAGAAAGTGAGAAAAGACTAGTTTATTGATTGGTGAATAATTGCCAGTTGTAGAGAATAAGATCAATGTCACATTTTTTTTATTTTTCTTTTGGTACAAATCAATGTGACACATTTTAATTGCTTGTTTATGGAGTTATCTGTTGATGAAGTAAATACATAGTCAATATTCAACAAAAAAACAAAACAACAATCATTAATACATTAAAATTCTGAAATATAATATACTAACCCCTTCAAACGTTTAAAAAAATGAAAAGGCACGCTGAAAATGAACACCAGCACCAATCACAATTGTTTCTCACTGAAAAAAAAACTAAACAAATCTCACATCTTCAAACCATAATGCTCAGACAGCCAGTGCAAAAACGCAGCATTTGATCTTACTGAACATAAAAGTTAAATCAAATCAGCCACATTCATCGGCATTTCATCAATCTGTGTACTGTAATATTGCTCGATATCTCTCAGGATTTTGATGTCATCGCTTTTAACAAAGTTTATGGCAACACCCTGCACGCCATCACGAAACACACATCGGCAACAGGTTCAATTACAAAGAAAAACAGTAAAAAAATCCTGAACCATCCACCACCATTCTTAATATAATTAAGAGATACAGTAAAGAAATATCTCGAGAGCCTGTCAAGAAAATACCTTTCTCCCAAACCGGCCAGACCGTCCAATGCGATGAATATAAAGCTCTCGATTATTAGGAAGATCGTAATTGATCACCAGAGAAACCTATAAAAATCCGATACAAAGCAGGAATGAATAAGTAACTTACTATCTCATTCGTATGTACTCCGAATTTGAAATTGTAATAAATGGGCAACACAGAACATAATGTGATATTCAAAGATCTGCCAATCTGTCAGAATACTGGCACGAGTTTGACGAGAAAACTTGTCAAAAATGGGAGTAGGTGAAAAATGTGAATCAAAATATATACCTGTTGAACATCGATTCCCCTAGCCCAAACATCAGTTGTGATAAGAACTCGAGTTTGGCCGGACCTGAATTCCTCCATGATTGCATCTCGCTCCTTTTGTGGCATATCTCCATGCATAGAAGAGACGGTAAAATTATTCTCGCGCATTTTAGCCGTCAGCCAGTCAACCTGCCATTTCACCACATGGGAGGCACTCAGAATGCAGATCCAAATCATAGCAGAAAAATGTTGGGAGCATCAAAATTCCAGCTCTACAGCACTATATAATCATTATAACTAGCTACAGGCTAGTTTATTATGACCCACCAAGTATTTGGTGCATAATTGCCATTTCCTACTTTTCACTTAAGCAGACACGGGAAAACTTTTAACAGCATCACAAATAGTGCTCTTACCATGTCTTAATTCATTACTCAAATCTTTTCAGTTTCATGTCACTGAAAAATAAACTAGTAGCACTTAAACCACAAACAGAAACATGCAGTCCAAACCTGAGTCCGATGGAAACTATGGATATATGTTTATTTCCCTATAACAAACTAACTGAAGTGAAATATAGTAAATAATAAATGATAACTAAACTGCACATAATTTTATTTACTTAATCACAATAGTGTATGTATAATTGCACCGACATAATGAATACCACATTTATGTTTACGAATCAGAAAATATTACCTTACGCTTAGTGTTGCAGAAAATAACAGCCTGGGTAATTGTAAGGGTATCATACAAATCACACAGAGTATCAAATTTCCATTCTTCTCTTTCTACTGCAACAAAAAACTGCTTGATGCCCTGAAATACATATGTTCATGGGAAACCGATGAATAAGTCAGATACACTAAACGTGCAGGCATAACACTATCTACCTTTCTGTTGCTTTTGCAATTTAAGAGAAAAAATTACACCGTATATATCACAGGATAGGATCGAAGCTACTAAAAAATTTTGTCCCTGGTTCCCAAGAATATTGGAGGAGTTTTTGCTCACAGAAACCAAAATTATGATAAGAAGACGCTTACCTCCAGTGTCAATTCATCACGCTTTACAAGGATACGAACTGGATCAGTCATGAATTTACTTGTCATTTCCAATATTTCATTTGGGAGGGTGGCAGAGATTAAAACAACCTACAGTGCAACAATAAATAATAAATAATCAACAAAGTGACCCTTCAAGGTCCATGTATGTGACAGTGAATGGCTTAACATGTCAGCCCTAGGAACCCCACATAGATATCTAAAAACACATTCCACATAAACACTAAGCATGTAAGCTAGGGAGAGGAGAGGAGAGGAGAGAGGACAAGACAAATAAATAAGAGAGAGAGCAAACCTGGAGCTCAGGTGGAAGATATCTGTAAACATCATAAATTTGATCCTTAAACCCTCTGCTCAACATTTCATCAGATTCATCCTACAAAGTTCCGGATAGGGAAAAAATGTAAATAAAACCTAACCATACTTAATTGCATGGAAATAAGACAGGATGAAGTGAACCAACTAATATATCAGAAAGCACTAGTCCAGTCAATAGTACCAGAATCAGCAATTTGATTGATCTAGTTCTTAAAGTTCTCCTCTTAATCATGTCACAAACTCTACCGGGAGTGCCTGACACAACTTGAACACCATGCTCTAGTTTTCTTATATCCTCGCCAACACTTTTGCCTCCAATGCAAGCATGAGCTTGAATGTTTATATAGTCACCAATTGCCAGTATTACTTTCTCTGTCTGAGCTGCCAACTCCCTTGTAGGAGACACAATCAAGGCTTGGACCCTTCATTTACCAAATAAGTCAATTTACAAACATTATGAAAATCAATCAAACGAAATATTAGATCGTTTTATCAAGAAACAAGAACCCATTGAAAATATAGTGCATTTAACCAACCACAGACAAACCCCACTAAAGTCCCAATCTCCATAAGAAACAGAGTTTCGTCCACGCATCCAAAGAAAACACCCAACCAACAACAGACGAATTCAAAATTGCAGCTCATACGAGCACGAAAACACATACTCGGAGGACTTGGTGTCAACAATCTGGCAAACGGCGAGCGCAATCATGGACGTCTTGCCCGTACCAGACTGCGCCTGGGCGATGACGTCACGACCGGAGATAATGGGGAGCACCGCACGCTGCTGAATGGCGGAGGGCTTCTCGAAGCCGTAATTGTAGATGCCTCTGAGAAGATCATCCTTTATCCCCATCTCGTCGAAGCTCATGATGGGCTCCACGCCCTTCGACGTCTCGAACACGAGCTTCGCGTCGCTCTCCTCCATCGCCCGCCGCGCGCCGCCGCCTCCTCTCTGAATCGCCGCAGCCATAACGCTCCTGTTCAGTGGCGCCGGAGGAAGTACGTGCCTGAAAATTTGTGTACAAAATGAGAGAAGGTTTGTTTAATGGCGCCTAGGGTTTGCGATTGTTATTTTTTGCCCCAAATTTTAATCCATGTTGAAGTTTAGAACACGACTTTGTTCCTTAGTCATAACGTTTTCTGTTATACAGTTACAGTTAGGGCGTTGAAGCTCTTTTCAGCCCAGTTATTTGGACCAATTAAGCTGAAACCAAAAACCGATACGGCCCACAATGGCGCTGAAACCAATTTCAGCCCAATTACTTTTACCAATTAGAGTAATCAAAAGCAGATATGGCCCAAATGAGTAATAATCATAGTGATCCAGAATGTTTTTGTAGCACTCGAATACTCGATTATATAAGTTTATTAAAATCAAAGAGAGTTGCATTATTTAAATATGAATTCTAACTCTGAAGTCTTACTATTATTACCCTAAAGAAACATCATTAATATGATAATAATTCTATAATTAATATGATAATAATTAAAATATATAATTTGATAGGCTATTATCCGAACTGTCCAAAAGTATACTTAGCAAGAATTATAAGTTAACTTATATAATAACTTATTTAGTTAGTTTAGAGTCACATTATCTTAAAATAAGTTTGAATTTGGTAATGCAAAACTCTCCGACCGGCTAGAATTCGGTCCACCTTCTTCCTTCTCGCCGGTTGAATGCCGCGTACCTACAAAAGACTCTCACACCAGAGGGGTTCTCCGATGAAGAGCCTCTGAGTTTTAAGTCAGTGTTTGTTTCAATTAATTCTCAAAGGTAAAAATGGATCAATCGTGTTTAACAATAAATGCTCACCCTAATATATATATGAGTGAAATACCTGACCTAAAGGCTACCCGGATTTGGTGAGTTGTTTGCCCAAGTCTGTCAGTCCGTACACACGCAGTGTGCGTGTGTCAGATGCGGCCATCATCACTATCTTCTGCACCAATCATCTTACACTATGTGTCTCCTCCACATGGGGTAAATATTCTCCTACAATCTGTCATCTTACGGACATTCCGTTATAGACTCTCACGTTTGACCTTATTCGAGTCAATCTCTTAAGTCGTCTTCACTTCGCAGTATGATCGACCATCAGTCTGTTCTCAATCTGTGGGGCGACCGCTTAGACGATTCTTTACGCGATCTTGTCGACCATCGACCAGATCTTTCCTGGGCCCGAAATCGATAGGTACCCCTCATGTTAGAATCCCCACCATCTTGTCCTTCGTGATATTCAGTCATGATCGCTTTGTTTGATATTGTTCGACCGATACGATCCCCGTTATATTCGAGTTTGTTCGACCAACCTATTGAGTCGGTTTATTCCTTTAGGTATAATATCTTATATCAGAATTGGTATGATGATCTTTAAAAAACAAAAATCAAACTTATTTCAATTAATGGTCATCCGCTCAAAAGAGTCTATCGAAATTTTTGTTACAATCGACATATTGGCTAATTTTTACCAAATAACTTTATTATATAATATGTTAACTTTCAAGTCATCACTTAATTACAAGCAACTAGCTAACATCTTAAAATTAACTTATTTTTACCAAATAGTTTTATTATATAATATGTTAACTTTTCAGTCATCACTTAATTACAAGCTACTAGCTAACATCTTGAAATTAACTTGAAAATTATTCGTTAACTTATCAGCTATCAGACTTACATTTCAACTAAATTTATCAACTATTTTCATTTGTTAAATGTTTTGTTTGTAAGCTTAAATGTTCAATCATGTCTATGTTGTTTAACTGATTTTTATATTTCAATCAGACAATTATATTAACACTGAGTTGACCAATCACCATATGCTCATTAGACATTAATTATCAGCTAACAAACAAAAAGTCGGTAGCAAACAAGAACATTTCTCCATGATTCAATTTACAATAATAATATTCTATCATGGCAACATATATAAATAATGATGTTAATATATATAATTGCAAGTTTCTATTATTTAATGATTATAAACCGGATTTCATTCGAAAAGCAATAAAATTTGTATCTAAATTAATTACTCATTTACTCAACTTGGCAATATAATTAACCAATAAATTAATTACATCATTGGACTTGACTAGTTTTGTTATGGAGCCATCGGATAACTCAACTTATGGAGTCGACAACATTTTTTCACCAATAGTGTATTGACACGTGTCCCACAATAAATACGATTTGGACAGGTGTCAACACATTAAGTGGTGGATGACTCCATAGAATTTTTGTGGACTTGTATATCTTGATATTTCTAGGCAAGTAAAATTATACTAAGTATATATAAAGAGGTCTTATAGAAGTATGATTAAAAAACACATAGAATATGATGGTCCTAATAAACCCCACTCACATGTTCACCCATAAAAGATCAACTCAAATACTTCAAAAAGGGATGGAGTGAGGGAATTCTATTAGCTAGTTGCATAATCTTCTAAAATATATATATAAGTCATGCTCAAATGTCATAAATTTAAATACAATAAAAATATAAATTATAGTATTTTAATTTCGTAATATAAACATATATTTTATGTAAAAAAAAAAACGCAGGTTAAAAAAAATGAATAGTAGAATTCATGTTTGGGATAAGATGATCCTCATTTTGGCACAAATTTCCACGACATATGTTTGAAGGGTTTTATTTTGTCCGAGCTAAAACTTCACGAACAAAATTTAAATAAAGAAAAAGAACCGGCTGAACCACTTTTTTTCACGAAAACGAGTCATTTCAGTCATCTCAATCACATGTTACTTTTCAACCATATTTTTATTTTATTTACCCGACAAACGAAGTAACACTTACGCATCATCACACGATGAATTGTCCCGATTCAAAAACATCGCATTTCAACCAAAGTACCATAACCATTCTTATTATTATTATTATTACA